GGTTTTGGTCGCTATCTTTTGGTTGCTCATTTGGATGAGGCAGGGGGTGAAAAACAGGACAGTGGAAAGTATAGTCGAAGAGAAAATGGAGAATTTCAGTAAACTAAGGTTGCAAGAAAACTGGACAAATTCATGAACGCCACTGTTTACGACACTCTGCCATATCACTCAGTATCAGTAACCAATAATTACAATAAACTCGAGGCCCCAATTCAAGGAGCCTAACGCGGCCTTTACGACCGAGTCTCCTGGTTAGGGTTTTCATACTTTCGTGCCAGGTCTTATTTTGACGATCGTTGCATATTTTGCACCGACTATCTGCCTTGGCCAACCTCGCGCGCCGCGGTAAAACATTTGGTGATATTCGTAACATATGCCTTAACCAACATAATCTGTAGTGGTCGACCACTTACTTCAGCGGGTGAATGAGGTCACCTAAAATTCCGCGTCAAAACTCAACATTGCTCCTCCGGTTTAACCACCAGATTCAGCAATCCTGCGTAGACAGCTAGGTTCGAACACTGACAGTCTATCTCCATCCTGCTTTCTTAAAGACCAAGTCTCTTTGTTGAATGGCAAAACTGGTCGTAGTATATGCTCGTCTCTTCACAGACAGTCAGATGTCGCGACGGAGACGCAGATGTTGGCAAATGTCAGTCGAAAATCCTCTATGAGAGTCAACACTCGTCCGTGATGCATCCGCCGAGTGAGATACAGTAACCCAAATAACAAAACTTGTCCACTTGTTCTATTATTTCACCAGTTGGAGCGAAGTTTGGTAGCTGGACCAACCCATTCCTACAGTAACATTTTACACTTTGAAGGCGCGAAACGCATACCAAACTGGGCTATATTGCCACTAAACCTGAACAGAAAAGCTTGCAACTTGCCTGAATCTTCGCTTGGCCGAACAATGTCGTCTGCATACTCCAGATCAACTGATAGCACATCGATATCACTGTCCTCACACGAGGATAGAGCTGTTTTCATAACCAAATCTATAACGAAGTTGAATAGAAAAGGAGAGAGAGAGAGAGGTCAACCCTGACCTCAGGCGGAAATGTGCCGTAAGCATGGACTCGGTTTCGGTTATGAGTATAAAGGGGTTGTATTATTGAAATTAACTTCTCGGGCAAGCCCTTCAGGGAAAGGCAGCGCCAGAGTTTAGAGCGATGGGCTGAGTTTAGGGCCACTTTTGGTTCGAGGAGGACAGAGATGATGGTTCTACGAAAAGAATGTCGGTGCTGCGGAATTCGGCCAACAGTGAGGATGTGATCGATACAATTTCGACCAGGTCTAAAACCAGCCTGATTCTCACGCGCGCACTGTTCATTTGAGGCAGACATTCAACGGAGTAAGATGCCAGCGAGAAGTTTAGAAGCAAGATTGATTAAACTAATTCCACTGGTTTTCACAAGAAGGTCTGTCAATTTTCTTGTAAATCGGTAAGATGACCGATTCACACCACTCAGTAGGAACCTGTTCCATCTCGCATACTGAGCGCATGAGTTTCGTTAACTGCAAGACCAACGCTAAAGCTCCATGCTTAAAAGCCGATAGAGACAGCCCATTTGGCCGGAAGCCCTATGCTTTTCCCGGGAACCCTCCATTTTAGGGACTGGCATAACTCCCAGAAACAACCTTCAACGCCCATAGAGACAGAGCACAGTTGCTTAAAATAACTAACTAAGTTTGATAGTTCTAAGTAGACATCGGAGAGAATCGTTTTTGTAACGTGTCCCGCTTCATGGATATCGCTGATCATCATTTACTTTAAATCGATTGATCCATGGGAGTGCTAATCCTTTGAAGTTCCGAAATGCCTGGTTATCGTGTTATTCGGTTTTCCAAATTATGCCATCCAATTGCACTCCAGACAAAATTCACGTTTATGAATACTCCTTAAATGAAAAACTGATGAGCGTGTGAGTAACTGAACTCCAAAGTGCACGTTGTTCTGACTTTAACGATAAATCAGTTCAGTTCAGTTTTTACAACCATTAACCATGCACATTCGTGCTCCGATTTTGGTTGCCGTCTTTTGGCCACCCACTTGAGTAAAAGAGAAGGATTAAGATTGGAATGTTAAAAGGCAATTCAAACAGAAGATGAAAACTTCATATAGACTGGTGTTACGAGAATAATGAGTAGATACATGAGCGCCACTGCTTGCGACACCCAGCCATATCGTTCAGTGACTATCATCGATAAATACCGTCGTCTCCGCTCAATCAACGGTAATGTAAAGGTAAAACTGGGTTCAGATGGCTTGAGGTACTTTGAAAGTTTGTTGTGAAGCCTCAAAACCATCGTTTATTTATGGGAGACACTGGTTTTATTTATTAGTATGTATGTGTTAGTTGTGTTTCGGTTCATTAAATTCATGTTTCACCCATGAAATACGCGAGATCAATTTCAAGACCCATAAGTATTTCACATGGTGGGAAATTCAGTGGTATTTATTTTTCATTGCACTGTCTAATCACTTGCTGCCGCCCATCCGCTCTGGAATTTGTGTTTTATTCATTTTTACTTTTGCGACATGTTTTTTTTCTAGACGTCACACGAGATTATGCACTCCGACAATTCATGTTTATTTGGAGGAGTCAGCAAGCGAATCATCCGCTCTGGCCAAACAGCTCATGCTTACTGATCAAGGTTTGGTCGGTGGTCCGGAGTGGAGTCCGACTGAAGTGCATTTCTACTACAGACCAGGTGGTTATGCTCAGTCCGACTGGTCACCCACTCCGTTGTGCGATTTCCTCCGCGTTGCTCATGATCCATTACTCTGGTCACAAATGATTTTAGACGGGATTGCGCATGAGGAACGAGTGCGACGTCAGATGAATGCGTTGAGTCTGAATGAATCTGAAACAACGAGAATATTGACGAAAGAACAGCAACAACAACAACAAACTGACATCTGAACATCATTCTTACTCACGCCTCTCGTCCCTTCATTCCATCATCCACGCCACACCACAACATTCATAAGCAATTTTATAAATTTATTTATTCGTTTATGTTTTTTTCGTATTGCACCTCATTACAACCCAATGTGTAACCATTATCACAAATCTTTTTGATTATTCTTAAAAGAGTATCAATTATTGTTCGAATTGGTCTTGTGTTTCATCTTCAGGTATCCAGGTGTATTTTATTTATTCCGCCATATTTCGTGACTGAGAAAAGTTCATGCACGGTTTATCTTGAACGGAACTTGAATTTATTTCGATTTTACCACCTTTGGACAAGGTTGATAGCTAGATGACCGGCTTCTGTGAGATTTCCCTCAGAGCAAATTAAAATAATAAATAGACTAGTTTCCAAAACTCTCCTCTCCAGTTTTAAACCCTTCGGTGATTAGACTTTCTCTTTGCATACAGCCGTAAGGTTCTGTCCCTGGGAGTCTTCAATCATTCCCTTGGTGCATTCGACGGAATAACTCTTTATTTTGACAATCCTTTAGTCGGAACGTCACAATAGAACTCTCTCGTGTCTAGTAATAAATCAAATGTTAATTAGACATTTACGAGACATCTGTGGCAACAAAAAAAAATCAATCTTAATCATGACGACAAACGCGATAGCGAATAGAGACAGAATTCTAGGCAATAGATGTATTGAATTATGATCCACATCCGTTCGTTATCAACTTGTCATTTGTTTTCGGAGTCTGCATTCTAACTAACCAGTCAGCAAGTTTCTCATTCGGTCTGTGCTCCACTTGTCTAAGGGTTCGACTGAATTGTGTTGACCGTTATATGGACACGGTGAGAGATTTATTCTGATTGAACGCTTCAGGCCACCTTCTGTTGGGTGCGTCTTGCGATGAATGAGACCCGCAAATTTTCTACTCCGACTGAGTATGATGGCCTTAGATACAATAATGATTAAAACAAGCTAGTTAAGTCCTGCATTTACTTCACAGATGAATATGCCAACGAGAAGGCTGGCACCTGCTTGTTGTACTTTGCCATCTAGTCCGGTTTTGGCAAATCAAATTGCAATTACCCTACAACCAAATTATTTTGACCTTTGGGACGTTCCCAGACTCGTCAGTTTGCTTCCATTTTATGGAATCACACATCAGCTAAATATCTGAAGACGCGCTTATTTTCGGGGTAAGATTCACATTAAACCATTCTGAAAATTTTGATGGGCTTTCTTTTTGCGTGTCTTCTCAGGGGAGAAACGCGGCAAGAGTATCGCACAGTATGGCAAGTTTGATGTTTAAGCAGTACCGAAAACGATGGACTAGCTTCGTAGTGCTTCAAAAGGTCGGCCAATGGCATGGCGGTCTGCGATTACATGATAAATCACTTTTTCATCAGCAATCGGTGCGTCCAAATAGTTCCCAATGTAAATCTCCTTAGCTTCATCATCCCAAGGTTTTACGTAGGCTCATCTTACTTGAAAAAATTTAGGTGCACCAGTTTTGCTTTTATGAGTCAGTATTAGGATGCCTATATACTAATACCTGTACCCCTTTCATTGTACTTGATGGCCTGTACACTCTTGCGTTCTGCTTCATTTGTTATACTTTTCACCGGTGCACTTTGCCAGTCTGTTTCTTTATAAATACTGAAAAGGTCACAAATATTTAAAGGCAATCTCGCATGCCAGAAAAATTCTACGTCTTAATTTATTCACGTTTATCCTAAGAAAAATATCATTCCTGCAAGAATTTTAATTTCAGCATTCTGTCCGACGGCATTCGCTCGTCCGGATCGGTGACACAGAATAACTACAAGCTTTCATGCTGGCACAAGCTCTCATCCTACACCTGCCCGGGAAGTTTATTTCATTTTTACAATCCCTTTATACTAATAGCCGAAGCTGAATCCATGCTTACGGCACCTTTTCGCCCGAGTTCACCACGGAAAGTGGCGTTCATCAGGGTTGATCTCTCTCTTTTTCTATTTAACTTCGTTATAAATTTGATTATGGAAACANGGAAACAGCCCTGTCCTCATATGACCTAGTGATAATCGTAACTGGTGGTTAGAAGCACTAAGTAGTATTGCTGTCTTTGTAAACTTTAATCTATCAGAATTCCCTATTTTCCATTCGACACGGCTTCCAAATTTCCAGTGTTCCTTCTACCCCTGATCTAAATAAGCAACCAAACTGGTAAACAAATTAACCAAATGGACTTCCATAGTTAATAGTTGTTCAATTGAAACTGAGTGCGTCATTTCTTACTTAGCGTGCTGCTTGGTGAGGTAGATCTCCGAATTCTTCAAACTTGCAATGGTGCTATATCTCATTGAGCACAGTACTGAAAATGTACCGCTTTGGGGTGGATAAAGGAACTAAATGTTTTGACTTGACCTGGATTAAGGAGAACAATTTGATCATAACTTATGTTGCTACTGTCAAAATTTACCTCATTCCGTAATGATAATTTATCTACCAAATCATTGCACTCTACGAAAACAACCATAAACGAGAAAGAAGTTTCTGAATGCTGTGGTTTTCATCTCACTTCTCAATCAAGAACTCAAGTTTAGACCTATGTTCATTTGACGCAACTTGTTGATAAAAAAGGAACTTTTTCTCAAACGTTGCACAATCAAACTGTTTGACGTGTGTAGTACCCTCTAATTCGGCCTCAGTCTGACTGTTTTCATCATCATGCTGGTTAGCAGTTGATACCACGTTTTAGAGTAGTCTGCAACAGATTATTTTGCAGTCCGATAGAACTAAGTGAAAAAGCTCGAAGGACTCCAATCAATGTCATTTAGAAGCGAATGACAGAGTGTGAAATGGAGTGCTCGCAACGGGCTTGAAGAAATGGGTTGTGCCAAATCGTGTACAGACAAAGTGAACCAACTGGTCACGTCCCCCCGGAGTTGCCGATTTAGTAGCATTCTTGTGTTTTATCCGTATGGTTTCGAGTTGGTTCTTATGTTACCTCGATGGAATCGCATTACTGATGAGTAAAAAAGAGTAAACAAGGTCGAAGCAGCTGTACGTTGTTTTATGCTGTTTCACATCAAGTTCCACTTGCTCTCTGCATACAAAGCAAGTCACCATGATACACATAATGCCTGCTTGTTTTTTCATTATCAAAAAGTTAAATATGTTAGTGACCACGGAATTCTCTTCATCTGATCTTGGCACTGCCTCTATAACTTGCAAAATGCACATTAGACAACAGTATTATAACCGCGATTATTTTCTACATACAGTTTTCGCTTTTTTGGATTGTCCAGTAGAACAAGCGGAATGGTTACTTTGCCTTTTCAGTGACAAATGGATGTCACGTTGAAATGACTGATGTCCCAGATTGGCAAACAAAGCTAACTTTATGCGGGCATGACCATACCCAACCGAGGTTTTTTCGATGTAAACACTAAAGTCGCCAATTTTTTTCAACAATCGTTCCCTCAGAGTGGAACTGCGACCAGTCGAATTGTGTAATATTTGTATACCGTGAAGGTGCAAAATGAACGTCACGGTAGCTACGAGGATACTGACTGGCATTCATAAGTTCACTTCATACACAAATTCAGTTTTAGGGATAATTTGATTGATTTGTTCTGATTGATTTTTGTTCTGTTCAGTACTCATCGATGATGCGTCCTTTATACCGGCTTAAATGGAGTTTGGACTCCTGTTACCTAGCTCGAATGTTGTGTTATCGCTGTGTCAACCAACAAGCACTAAGTTGATTCGTTTCAGTTTCTAAACCTGTTGGCAAATAAAACACAATGTGCTTTCTGTAAACTCCAATCGAATGCCTGTCTCCAAATTAGGTCTTTGACCCATAGTCCTTTAACCTGGACGCACAAACTTTAGTCATACCGCTGCAAACGAGTCAGATGAAAAGGTATCGAATTAGTTAGACCTACTTTCGACTTATGTCATTACTACTAGTGAGTAGTATAGCCATAAACAAAATAATTTGTTCCCGACATGTAAATGGCGTTGATAAAAATCAACCACCACATGCTTAAATATTATTCATATTTGAACTAACCATCCGTCAAACTTCACCTTCACACACCACCCCCATTTCTTCTAGTCAACCCTACATTGGGAAATTGGACTGAAAGAACTGGGGATCGTGTGTGAAGGTGAAGTTTGAAAGATGGTTAGTTCAAATAAGTACCACTTATCCCACACCACTACTCATAAGTCCCTATGAGTTGAATGTGAAATATTATTTTGTTTTATTTTCATCAGTTCACGCAAATTAAATAAACACCAAATTCGGCTTTCTTCGGATTGAACTCACACTTATCCCCACAGATTCCACCACTATAAAAGAATTGTTATCAACAAAACTACTTCTGGTGACATAAACTGATTAATGTATGCACTTCGTGTGGTTCGCGTTTGACAACGGTGACATTCGCTTCAGTGAGAGCCCATTTCTGCCTAACTTTTTCTCTTCATTCTCGCGATCAAGTTTTAGTGAATAAACGGCAGACTCTTATTTTCACATCGTCTACCCCCTGTCATTCGCTTCCCATTGTATCTCTAACATACATCAATCTGAACAGTTTTGAGCAAATCTCATGTCTCCTCACTAAGACGTGTAAATCTGGCAGAATCCATATCTCACTCTCCGACTGATAATGTTCACCCCTACACATCGTTCATCGATTCGAGGAGCATCGTTCATCAGGGGTGGCACACATGGAAAAAATTATCTCACAATCAACACGCACTGGGATTGGACTTCATCTAGGACGCACGCCCGTTCGATTTGTGCGCCAAAGCTCACCACATCACCACCACCACCACCTCACGCACATTCAATCACGTTTGTCATCCAAAACACTAGGTAAGACCTTGAGTTGATTGACTTGTGCGTGTGTTATGTTCTTGACTCCGCTATTTTCCCTCATTCACTCAGTTTATCCCCACCCCCACACACACTGTCTTCTCAACGAACTCAGAACTGGTGAATTTTCTG